CCCAACCTTCCTTCCAAGGAGTGGCTGGTGGGTTTGAACCGCCAGCCTTCTGGTTAGCAGTCAAGTGCTTAGGCACTATGCTACCAGAGCTCCTTGTAGGCACATGGATATTATCCTATCACTGATAGCATTGTACTTCAGGACAGATCTTGAAACATTCTTTGTGATGATGAATGCCATGCCACTCCTCTTCAATTTGTCATTCCCAGCATAGTAGACCATATGATTGTCTGATTCAAAATGCTCAAAATCAGTCCATTTTAGTCCATTAATGCCTAGGATATCTATCTTTATGCATTCCATTTCATTTCTGACAACTTCCAATTTTCCTACTTTCATACTTTGTGTATTCCATGTTCTAATTATTAATGGATGTTTGCAGCTGTTTCTTCTCATTTTGAGTTGTGCCACATCAGCAAATGGAGGTCCTAAAAGAATCCACATCATTAAGGTCAACTCTACTCTGAGGAGGCAGTCTTCCCCAGTCATATTTTAAGTACCTTCTGACCTGAGGGGCTCATCTTCCAGCACTATATTGGACAATGTTTTCAGGGCTACTTATGAAGTTTTCCAGTAATATATCACAGTGTTCACTGCTATTTTTCATAAGATTTTCACTGGCTGATTCTTTGAGAAGTGGATGGCCCCGTCCACCTTCTGAGTATGTCTTAATCTGGAAGTTCCACTGAAACCTGTCCTCCATGGGTGACCCTGCTGGTATTTGAAATATCAATGGCATAGCCTCCAGCCTCATAGCAACACACAAGCCACCACAGTATGGCAAACTGATAGACATGTAGTTTGAGTAGTATTTTTTTTTTTAATTTTTATTGTGATTTGAGTGAAAGTTTACAGAGCAAATTCATTTTCCATACAGCAGTTCACACACGACTGCAATTCTCCACAGTATAATAGCTCTTTTCCCACTTCCTTCCTGTAGGTACCTCTTCCCTGTGTCCTTCCCTCCCATGCGCTTCTGCCCCCCCCCCACCCAGTGGTCTCCCTGAGTAAACACTGCCCTTCTGTTCTCCCATGATTGATTGCTCCAAGTAGGGTATCTACGTGATGTAAATGTTCACCCCATATGCCTGCCTATTGTTTGGCTGGAAGCCATAGGAGTAGATTTAATTCTAGACCCAAAGGTGGGTAGGGGCTATTAGTTTCAGGGGTCTCACCAGGCTCTATCAGATCAGCAAATTTGGTCTTTTTTTACAATTTTGAGTTTTGTTCCACATTGTTCTCCCAGCCTATCCAGGATCTCCTGCACTTATCCCCTTCTGAGGGGTTGTCAGTGGTAGCCAGGCACCATCAAGTTCTTCTGGTCTTATGGTCAAACAGGCTGAGGACTGCATGATCTACCAGTCCCATGGACTAATTGTTTCCATGAATCTTTGGTGCTCTTTACTCTTCTTTGCTCTGGATGAGGAGAGACCCAATGTTGCATCTACATGGATGCTTGCAAGCTTTAAAGATCCCAATCACGACTCACCAAAGTAGGATGTGGGACAATGTTTTTGTGTAGCATGTTATGCCAATTGAGCTTGATGTCCCCTGTGACCATAGTCCATCTACTCACTCCCTCTGGGTAGCTGGCTGTGGCCAAGAAGCCACCATAACCTTGCACCTTGTTAACTCTGCTAGACACCTGGACATTCTTATAGCACATACAAATATGCATGTAGAAACACTGTCTGCTAACCCTATACATGGTCATGGGCACATTACTCCCTGCCTAGCCACACCTGATCATTCAGCCTGTCCACCCCTCTATCCAATGCTTGCCATCACTGACAATGCATTACTGTACATGCAAAAGGGTTCATCTTTGTTGTTTGTACCTCCATGTACCTCTCTCTTTCCTCCTCTTCCTCAATGCCACCATGTTGATCACTAACATTTGGTACACTGCCCCTCCTTTCACCCAAATCATTACTTGTCTCTACCTACTGCCACACAAATCAATACTTGTCTCTACCTGCCTATGCAGGAGCTGGTGGGTTCAAATCACCATTTTTTGGTTAGGAGAGCTTAATCACTGTGCTGCCAGGGCTCCTTAAGTGTTAACTAGCTCTCACTTTCCCCTACTATGATTAAGACTTGTATATCACAAAACAAGCTTACCTGGGATTCTTGTTGTTTAAGCTTAGTGCAATCTCATTGACAGCATGTGGATGAGACATGACCATGTTGAAACCATACTGAAATTAACGTGGAAAAAACAAGGCATTAGGAATCAAGTTAGGAGACTGTTAATGTTGATTCAAAAACAAAACTTGAACTTTCTATCTAATGTAATTTATACCATAGTAAGTACATTTATGTCTCTACCACATCAGTATCTGAACACAATTCACCATCAAAAAATTCAGGAATGATGCTATTATTAAGCATATTATGCTATTATATAAACCATATTTCCAATCTTTATGAGTGAACTGTGTGTTGTTTCCCTTCATTGAAATGGTGAGGATGTCCCAGAGGCTGCAGTCCAGAGATTCTCAATCCCTGCTGCTCAACAGAATCACCTCAGAAGATTAAACAACAAAATACTGATTCTCTAAGACTCACTTCAGGTCAACTTAATCTTTTTTTAAACCTTCCAGGGTGACTCCATTGTGCAGCAGTGTTGACAACCACTGCCTCTGGTCCCTTCTCTGGGCAGTGGCTAATAGAGCCAAGAGCTTGGAAAACTTGCCTTGCTTTGAGGCATGTTATTTCATCCTTCTATACAAACAAAAAAGCTTCAAACAAACAATAACAGCTTCAAGAATGTTCTTGATTCTGCTGAGTTGAATAATTATGCCTTCTTTCCCAAGCTCACTCTCAGTTCCTGATCTTATTTCCTCTTACATTGCAAAAATAAAAGCAATCAGAAAAAACAGCTCCCAAAAATCTCTCACTACCACATCAACTCACCTACATAGATTTTTGGTCTATTTTCTCACCTCTTCCTAAAATGAACTGCCTTGTGTTGCAATCCAAGGCCAACACATCCATTTGAGGAACTGATCCCACTCCTTCTCACCTACTTTAAAACATTATATGTTCCAGCAAGTCTCTCCATCCTCCATCATTATTTATTTACTTTTTCCTCTCTACTAATTCATTAGGATCTTTGGTGGTATAGTGCCTCAGGCATATGATTGCTAATGGGAAAGCTGGCGGTTCAAACCCACCAGCCACTCCTCGGAAGGAAGGTTGAGCAATCTACTTCCGCAGTGATACTGCCTCAGAAACCCAAGGAGGGGCTGCTATGAGTCGGGTCCGATTTGACAGCAATGAAGCTAAAACTAATTCATTGTCATGAGGATAAAAATATGATGCAAAGTCTCTCATCTAAAATAACTCTATCTACATTCCAGTTGTCATCAACTTGACTCTGATTCATGGCAATCTCATGTGTGTCAGAACAGAACCATGTTTCATAGAGTTGTCAGTGGCTGATATTTTGGAAGGAGATCTCCAGGTCTTTGTTCTGAGGCACCTCTGCATGGTCTCAAAGCTTCAACTTCTCAGTTAGCAAATGAGCATGCTAACTAAAGACTCCAGTTTGGGTTCTTACTAAATGTCTATTCTCAGTGACACTTCCCTGGTTGCCTTATTTCAAACTATTCTAGCACTTATCCTTCCTATTCTCTGATAATTTTTTCTATGGTACTTGGTAATTGTTGTCTGGAGCCAGCCTTCCTGGGTTCAAATCTTGACTCCAACACCTAGCAGCTATAGGCAAATTTCTCTGTGTCTCAGTTTCCTCATCAGTAAAATGAAGAAAGTAGTATTATGAACCTCATAGAGTTGTTATGAGATTTAAACAAATTAATAGGTTTAAAAGCACCAGACCTGTAGAAAGCACTATGTAAGTGCTAGCTTTCATTATCATCATCTGGAATCTATATATTTTACCAATTTATTTATCATTTTTCTTTTCTCACTAGAAAGTAAGTTCTATGGAGCAACTTATTAATTTAATTCCCTATCCCTAGAATAGGGTCTAATACACAGTAGTTTTTTTAAAGTGCATTCACTGATTGAAAGAAAGAATAAATGGATGCATGTTTCCCTTCCTAAATTTAATGCAGCACCCTTATACAGGGTCTGAACTCTAATAATGAACCTCTACCTGGATCACTACCTGGCCCTACCCATCATATCCAAAACATTGGAACTCAAATCCTATTTTTACATTAGAAATGTGTTTCCAAATCTGATACCTGATTTGCTTATCAAACTATATGTTTTGTACTCTATCAGTTCATCCTAGATACTCCAGGTTCTAACTTCTATTTTATTATCAGGATTAACCCAACCCACATGTTTCTATGTTACTCCCAGTGTTTCTCAGAGTATGGTTAACCTGCATCACAACTCTTAAAGGAGGGTTGGGGATCTGTATTTTTAACAAGAATCTGCCAGGTGATTCTGTAAATTCAGGAACTACTTCTTGTTAGGAGCTCTGGTGGTATAGTGCCTAAGGCATATAACTGCTAACCAGAAGGCTAGAGGTTCAAACTCACCAGCCACTCCTTAGAAAGAAGATTGAGCAATCTACTTCCATAGAGATATTGCCTCAGAAACCCAAGGAGCGGTTGCTATGAGTTGGGATCGACACCCAACCCACATGTTTCTATGTCACTCCCAGTGTTTCTCAGAGTATGGTTAACCTGCATCACAACTCTTAAAGGAAGGTTGGGAACCTATATTTCTAACAAGAATCCTACAGGTGATTCTGTAAATTCAGGAACTACTTCTTGTTAGGTGCCGTTGAGTCAGCTCCAACTTGTAGCAACTCTATATATAATGAAACACTGCCCAGTTGTGCACCATCCTCACAATCCTTGCTATACTTGAGCCTACTGTTGCAGCCACTGTGTCAATCCACCTTGTTGAGGATCTTCCCCTTTTTTGCTGACCCTCCACTTTACCAAGCATATCCTTCTCCAGGGAATAGTCCCTTCTGACAACATGACCAAAGTAGGAAAGAGGAAGTGTGGCCATTCTCACTTCCAAGCAACACTCCAGCTACACTTCTTCCAGGACAGATTTTTTTGTTCTTCTGGCAGTCCCTGGTATTTTCCGTATTCTCTGCCAATACCACAATTCAAAAGCATCAATTCTTCTTCGTTCTTCCTTATTCATTGTCCAGCTTTCACATACAAATGAGGCAACTGAAAATACCATGCCTTGGGTTAGGCACACCTTAGTCTGCAAAGAACTATCATTGCTCTTCGATACTTTAAAGAGGTCTTCTGCAGCAGATTTGCTGAGTGCAATACAGTGTCTTATTTCTTGACTGCTGCTTCCACGGGTGTTGATTGTGGACCCAAGTAAAATGAAATCTGACAACTTCAATCTTTTTTCCATTTATCATGATGTTGCTTATTGGTCCAGTTGTGAGGATTTTTGTTTTCTTTATGTTGAGCTGTAATCCATACTGGAGATGATAGTCTTTAATCTTCATCAGTACCAAATACCAAACCAAACTCACTGCCGTCGAGTTGGTTCTGACTCACAGCAACCCTTCCCTGGGTTTCCGAGGTGCTATCTCTATGGAAGTAGATTGCCCAGTCTTCCTTCTGAGGAGTGGCTGGTGGGTTTGAACTGACAGCCTCTGGTTAACAGTCAAATGCCTTAGGCACTAAGCCACCAGAGCTCTTATCTTCATCAGTAAGTGCTTCAAATTCTCTTTACTTTAAGCAAGCAAGGTTGTATTATCTGCATATCACAGTTGTTAATGAGTCTTCCTCCAATCCTCATACAGCATTCTTCATACAGTCCAGTTCTCAGATAATGTGCTCAGCACTGTTGTTGTTGTTGTGTGCCATCGAGTCAAACCCGACTCATAGCGACCCCTCCTTGGGTTTGAACCACCAGCCGTCTGGTTAGCAGGCAAGTGTCTTAGCCACTATGCTACCAGAGCTCCCATAGTCTCAGCACAGAGACTAAATAAGTATGGTGAAAGGAATATTTAGTCTAACATAACTTTTTGCTTGTTCACCATATAAGTCAATGAGCTATCCACAATGTTAGTCTATTCATTCCTACCCACTTAAAATTGTTCCCTTATTGCCTACAATCAGAGGCTTATTTTGTTTCTAATGTCACAAACATTAAACAAGTGATCTAGGTAAGTAAATTTATCACTGCAAGGGGAGATTGTCTTCCCTTTAAATCCACTATAAAACATAAATATTAACTTGAGGCCAATGAACTAAATCTTTAGCATATGAATAAACCAGAAAGAACAAGATCTGTTTACGACTAATTCAGATTTTTTAAAAGGACTAGAACAATAAACATACCTGATAATTCATGATGGCACGTAAACACATGATACATACATGTACATCATCTTTTTTACTCACTAATCTTGAGTTTTTCAGGGTTCTTCTGCTTGGCAATGTATTATATCTACAAATAAAAAGGCAAATTTCCATAAAACTATTGATCACTTTCTTAGCATAAGCATATACACTTAAAAAATGAGTATTTTCCTCTACATTTACCTGCACCAAAATAAGGACTGCAGTTCAAACCCACCACCCCAAAGCCATCTTCATAGACTGCTAGGTTTGCATGATTCAAGGAAACTCAACCTCACGCACATAATGTAGCAAATCAGATCATACATGATATTTATCAACAATCCCAGTCTCCTAAGCAATGAGCCACAAGCTAGATTTGCAGAGGTGATCTGAGGCAAGATGCATGCAGACTTAGTCTACAACAAACAAGCGAAGGAGTGAAATTTAGCTGATATGTAAAATTTTCATCACTTGATCTGATGTTGACTGTACTTTCCCATTACTGTTCTCTAGAGTCTCTGCTTCTGATTTTGAGCCTAGGCATTTTCATACATTAGCAAATTTGATATTAGGCTATGATATTAGACTCTGAGGTATTAATAGCACGCAAATACCCTCATAGTATGATCCTTCACCAAAAGCCTGGGATGGCAGCTGGAACTTAGATGAAAATATGCCCCTACTTTAAAGGGTAAAGGGGTTTTAATAATAAGATTTGTTCCATAGACCATACATTGTTAAGCCTTCTGCTGTTAAGCTCTCCTTCATGGAGACTTATATGGAGATTTATATGGTTAAAAAAAAAAAAAAAAGGTTAAAAAAAAAAAAAGTGGCAATGTAACAAGATGCAAGTAGAAAAGGTGACAATACTGAGCTTCAGGGTGAGCAGAAACACAAGTAAATCTCCCCTGCAACTCAAAGTCTCAAATAAAAGCAAAATTTTAAAGTTGTCAACTACTTTCATTTAGTCAATGGTAGAGATGCTCCACAAAATAAGCTATAACCCTTCCTTCTTCTTCAACTGCACTATTAAAAAGTTTAAAAGAGGTATGACTAATATTAACATGCTTTCAAAAGTCCCCCAGGTACAGACCAGAAATTGAAAATTGAATTGACAGGTTTATTTAAAACTGTTCAGCTAAGCAGCTCTTTTCAATTTCATTTTCTGTTCAAAACCTATCAAATGGAGAAGAAAGATTATTCTTTTCCATAAGTCTACTGCTGAGCCAAATAAATTACTAAAAAGCATTTCAATAAGTCACTTGCCTCAATAAACCTCAATATGCAAAGTTTAGTTTGCTTGTGCCAGTTATAAAAATGAGGCTTTAAGAAAGAAAAAAGTTGGCTTTATTCAAGGACTTCTGCTTTATTCACACTTGGAAATAAAATTTTAGCAGTGGAAGTTAGCCTAATTCACTTCTGAATGCAAAAACAAAGAAGTGAGATTTGGGAGACAGATTTGGATTTTGGTGTTACTAGTGAATAAGGCACTTGGCTCCTAACCAGAAACTCAGCAGTTCAAATCCACCAGCCATTCCACAGAAGGAAGATGGGGTGATCTACTTCTGTAAAGATTTACAGCCTCAGAAACCCAGTGGAGGTCACTATGAGTCAGAAACGATTCAACCGCAGTGAGGTTTTTTTTTTGGCTGAAACCCAATCTCAACATCTAAAATACAACTTTAAAATGTTACTTTGCCATAACCACAGGTAGACCATGACTCCTAACATACTTCTTGGATGTCTCACAGAGATTGGCACACCTTCAACCTTTGTCTGATTACCCAGTAAGGTAAGCACAAGCTTAGTTATGCTTACTTACTAATCTACAGTGAACAATTCCACATTTCTTCACCACATCAATGATTCTGCTTTCTAGGTATTGCTGGCAACTATCTCTTTTCCTACCCCAAAGCACCTTCCTATAGAATCAAAGCCTCTTTTCAAATTTATAATCTTGACAGGGATGGAGTACCCAGTAAGCAAGGTAAGCACAGGCTTACTTGTGCTTACTTAGTAATGTGTTGTGAATAGCTTTCATTTGCTTTTTTTGGTGATTAGTAAGCAAACAAATGTAAACTCATGCTTCTGTTGCTCACTGAGTACTCCAAACTTGGCTTCAATCAATACCACATGGACAGTCTGGTCCAGGCATATATGATCTTAGTCTACATCTGAACTTCTTTTCCCTCCTCTACTAATCTTAACTTCGTTTAATCCTAGTTTTTTATATTTTAGTGGAAGCACTTGTTCAGTACATGAAAGTTTACTAGAGAGACAGTTCTCATTTTTGATCAAAAGTAGTAACTACTGTTTTAAAGTAAAATCATCTAAGTTAAAAGAAAAAAAAAAAAGAAAAGGTGATTTCAATAGAAAGAACAGTTCTTTGCTGAATAATATTTATGTGTAGCTGTGGTAGTTAATGTTACGTGTCAACCTGGCTGGGCAGCTGCATGTAGTGATTCCCTATATGAGATTGGTAATCAACTCCATGGTGGAATATAATGTGAGCAGCTGAGTAGCTACCTTAGGGATGTGGTCTGCTTCTAGTATATAAGCAGCAGCTTTTAGAAAGGTCTGGCACACTTGGACCCTGCATGTAGCCGATTCTTCATTCAGCAGCCTGCCAATCTTGGGACAGTTTGTAGATTTGAACTAGTGGCCTGCCATGTTGCTTCATAATATTGGGAATGTGCCATTACTTGTCAACCATGGGTTTGTCAGCCTCAGGAACCAGCAGCTGCTTGAGTTAAGAGACACCTCCAGCTCCAGTGGGCTGGGAACAAGGGGCAGAGCTGAAGCTCAAGGCCCTAAAGTTGGCACTTGAACTTGGACTTCTAGCCTCCTAAACTATTAGCAAATAAACTCCCATTTGTTAAAGTCATCCACTTGTGGTATGTCTGTCCCAGTAGTACTAGAGAACCAAAACAATGTTTCCAGAAGATATAGTGACTAAACCAAGCTACTCTTTAAGAAAGATGGGATAGGTCATTCTACATAGTCCCATATTTCTGCATCATTTCCAATAAATTCTAATTATCTCAGCAAATACACCAAATTATTCATGTAATGGTGTTTCCTAAGAGCTGTTAAATAACATAGCAGGTTCCTTCATTTTTATTTATTGATCTAATTATTGAGCTATATGGTAATAAATCCTTTTCTAAGAAGCCAAGATAACTATCATTATATTTTGTAATGCAGAAACCAGCAAAAATTAATTATGTAGAATAATACTCTGTTTACTAAATATTAACACAAAAGGCTTCTGTTTGTCATATATAGTAGCTGGGTAATCCCAAATAATTCTCTGGATCAACATTTCAAATAGATCTAATATGAAACACCACATGCATAGTTATTAATATATATATATATATATATATATGTAAGATGTCAAATAAAAACACTTATTTATTGAACATATTATGTTCAAAAATGATAGACCTAAAATTTTTTTTAAGTGTATGGTATGTGCCCTACCTTTTTTTCCTCAAATTTTTTGTTTATACAAAAATAGAGTAAGGATTAATGGAAACATCTGAACTTGTATGTTTAAAATCACAGCATCGACAGCTGAAGGAGACTAAGATCATTTACTCCAACTCCCCCTTTATACAGACAGGAAAACTGAAGCCCAAAAAAGTTAACATCCATATAGTATGAAAACAGAGATGAGACAAAACAAGACTAGAGCCAAGTCTTCTCAATGGGATTCAGGGAAGTCATGTTCTACAAGCTCCTTCTCAACCTGATTTATATCAACAATCTGTCAGGTTATCATGTGAAAAAGCTACCGCCTACAGCCATCTGTACTAATTTGGTGCTTATCAAGTTTTTGTACTCTGTCAGGCTGACAGAATTTTCTGCTTTGGTTCTAACTAGGTGTCATTTCCCACCTTCAATAATTATTTCACCATGCAGGACTAAGGCTTAGTTTACTTATAACAGTAGCATCTGTGCATCTCTGTAAGAATACCAGTTGTTGCCGTGGAGGAGTCAATTCTGACTTATGGTGACCCATGTGTGTCAGAATACAACCACATTCCAGGGGGTTTTCAATGGCTAATTATCAGAAGTAAATCAACAGGCTTTCTTCCAAGCTACCTCTTGGGTTGACTTGAACCTCCAACTTTTCATTTAGTATCCAAGCACCTTAGCCATTAACCATTTGCACTATCCAGGCACTCCTTTCAGAGCACAGTGGTCTAAATAATTATCCTTCTCTTCAGACCCATTGTCCTCTTGCTTTAGGCTGATAAGCTTCCTTTTGGACTAAGAGATGAACTATTTTGTCTCAGCCTTGTCATTTTACTAAATATTAACAAAACGAGGTTTTCTTTTAAAATCTTTATCCTGTATCACTTGTCAAGAAAGTAAGGTGTTTCATTTTGTTTTTAAATTTAATAGGAAATTTTGCTCTGTATTTTGGCATTCCCATTCTAAAAAAATTTTCTTCCATTAGGTAAAATGCACAATGATGAATGTCATAATCCTTTTCTTCTGAAAATATGAAGTATTTTCAAAGGACTCAATTTAGGATCATCTAAAATCTACAAGGCTAGATTTTAGGGATTGTACTCAACATACATTTTATGGAATTTTATAAACCCACCAGCCACTCCTCAGAAGGAAGATGAGGCAATGTACTTCCGTAGTGATACTGCCTCAGAAACCCAAGGAGGGGTTGCTATGAGTCAGGTCCGACTCGATGGCATATAATACCACCACCACCAATAATCTTTGTGCCAAATGGGCAAGAAGATGCCATCTTCTGACCTCCTCTAACCCCACAAGGGGAAGACAGAATCACCTTCAGTAGCCCAAGGCCTACTCCTGCCAGGCCAGACATGCTGCCTCCCTTCAGCCCTTTCATCAATCCTAACACCTACCGTTCCTCCCGCAGCACCCACCACCCCTCTGTTGGGTTTGATAATTTGCTGCAGTGGCCACACAGAACTCACAGATTATGGGGTTTATTAGGGAAACAACAGGCTACAATTCAACTTCAGGAACACACTCAGTCTCTCCCAGCATCTCTCTCAGCAATGTGTGTCTCTCACGTCTCTCAGCCACAGTGAGAGATCCCTTCTGCCTCTAAACCAA